CTTTTGTGTAATTTACATCAAATTCTGACACTGCCTTCTGACCAGATGACATTTTTCCATTTTCCTAGCGTTCCAATACGGGAACAATAGGAAAGTATTTGTCTCATTCCACTGCCAAATGCAATAATAAGTGCAGTATTTATATATGGAATCTCAGTATGCCAGTACCTACGTGTAGTTACGTTCCTATTCTACATACACATTTTGTGGAAATCAAGAAAAATAATTCCAAAAAGCTTCTATTAGAACTAAAATTTATAAGACATGAAATCTATGTTTTTACTTCTTCTCGCGGGGGAACAAACTCTGCTGGCACTGTTTCTGGGGACCCTTTTTACGAACGGACAGACCAAACAACGACTCGTTCAGCTAATTTTCACATTTTTAGCATTGTTTTTGGTGTAATTGGACAAGCAAGGATGCAGACTATATTCACACGCTACAGTTGTAGATAACCGCTAACTCCACAAAAATTACGCGTTTTTATTTGCAACAGTATTTGCACAGCGTTTTTATTTAACAGTATGTCGGCGGCCGTTGCTCTGCTCCCCGTTACAAACTGATTGTTTTTTCTTTTTTGGACAGAAGTCACAACAGAGGTTAGTGTCAGTCACGAACTTAGCACTGATGGGTTGGAAACTGTCACGCAGAAAATCTTCGTATTTTTATTAACTTTATATGATTTATATTAATGGTAAATTAACGATTAAAAAAAATCGAAAAAGAAGTCGCATCTTCGTTGCTTGTGGTGTTTGTTTTGTATTAATTTAACTAAAAATGTAAGTACTTTTAGGCGAGTTGGATCTTATCATTGAGGGCGTATTTTCTGTTCAGTCTTTAGATAATGTTGCTGACAAGTGCTCGCCTGTCCAAAGTGCTGCAGCTCACCCTGGCGGTCATCAAACCAGATGCTGTGGCTCATCCTTTGATGCTAGAGGTAAGCTGCCCTGATGTTTAAGTTACAGAGTTTAAGACCTAAGATTACACAGTTGAAGTTGTAGTCTGAAAGCTACAGACTACCACAGATTCAACAAGGTGCTGCAAACATTCTTCTGAGATTTTGGTTGATATTGACATAATGGCACACAGTTGCTGCAGATTTGTTGGCTGTACATTCATGATGAGACTCTCTTGTTCCCACACATCCCAAAGGTTCTCTATTGGATTGAGCTCTGGTGACTGATCTGTGGAGGCCATTTGAGTGCCGTTATCTCATTGTCTATGTTCAAGAAACCAGTTTGAGATATTTTGAGCTTTCTGACAGTTGTAATACTCAGACAGGTTGTGGCATTTAAGTGTTGTTCAACTGGTACTAAAAGTGTTCCAAGAAAATCTCCATCATTACACAACCACCATCAGCCTAAACTATTTATACAAGGCAGGATGCATCCCTGCTTTAATGTTGTTTACACAAAATTCTGACTCTACCATCCAAATGTTACAGTAGAAATGGAGACTCATCAGAACCTGATAACATTTTCCACTCTTCTGTTGTCCAGTTAAGGTGAGCCTGTGTGAATTGTGGAGTCAGTTTCCTGTTCTGTGCTGACAGGACTGGCACCCAGTGTTTTCTTTTTGCTCATGTAGCCCATTTGCTTCAAGGTTCAACATGTTGAGAAATTCTCTTGTGCAGACCTTGGTTGTAATGGGCGATTGTTTGAGTCACCGTTGCCTTCCTATTAGCTCAAAGCAGTCTGGCCATCCTTCTCTGACCTCAGGCCCCAACAAGTAGATCATCGATTTCTGAAATACATCTATTCTGATGGTCTGTTTGAAGTTCAGCAGGTTGTTTTCATCATGCCTACATGTCTATTAACTTGCTGCCATGTGATTGGCTGATTTGATGAATGAGCAGTTGAACAGCTGTACCTAATAAAATGACCAGTGAATGTTATTTTAATTTTTCAAGATTTCAAACATTTGTTGCTCTTTCTCAGGGCGTAACAGTTTGCATGGTGTGATTTAAATACTGTGTTCCTTATTTGTTTAATCTATAAAGATTAGTTTTTGGAATTAATGAAGCATAAATGAACATATCTTTCCATTTAATTGCTTTTTTTTTTAACCCACTGTCAAATAAAACAGCAATTAATTAATTGATGTTTTCTGTTCTGATATCAATTTTATCGAGTGGTAAAGAAGCATTTGCTCACCTCACAGACCTGGACGCTTCAAAATCATAGCAGCTGTGTCTATCATAAAATATTCCATCAGTGATAGGTTTAATTTCACTTGTTAATGTGCATTACTTTATTGTCATCTCAAGTTAAAGCACAAGAGGATGACCTTTTGAAGCAGAGCTGTCAATTTTTAACTTTTTCTCTGCAAAAAAATCTACACACAGGAAAAAGCATCTAAAGTTGATCCAGTCATGTTTTGATGCAACTTGGAGGACAAACATCGTGATTTCTGTCTTTCAGGCTCTTCACCAGAGAATTCTAGACAACAACTTTGGGATTGTTAGATGCCAAGATCTGGTCTGGAGACGACAGGACTCTGAGAGGTTTTATGCTGAACATTCAGGTTTGGAAACAATTCATTTGTGTTTAAGCTTTACTTAAAAATACTGCTGTAGTATATGATGTACCCAAATAAATGAGTCAGCAGCCTATTTTAGCAGGGTGCACTGTATGTATGACAGTTAAAAGAAATAAATGTCTTGTCAAATGAAGGATAGCTGATTTCTCCTTTTTGTTATTGAAGGTCTTTATTCTTTCTTTCTTTATTATTTCTGTTTTACAAATCTCAGGGAGATTCTTCTATCAAAGACTTGTTGAATTCATGTCAAGGTAAGCCTCCATGCTTATATCATGGACAGATTTCGTTGACTCCATGTGATTGAGTTACAATTTTATGTGTTTGGATGATTGTTGTTGGGTGTTGTATTTTAAATGGAATAATGGATGGAGAGCCATCAGCACCTCTGCTGATAGCACTCCAATTTCATGCTCAGTAAGGCACCAGTAAACGATTTTCCCAAAACAGGACAACAGGAGTTTCAGTTATTCGTGTTTAGAACACAATTCCCTGGTGCAGTAGCCTAAATATCGCTATGCAGACCACTCACAATAGGTCCTCCTGCTGCGAGCCTCCATTGGATTGTTAAAGGCGTTTGTAATTACTTTGTCTTTTTTTTTTGTCTGCTCACAGCAGTGAGGCAGTAGTTGCTACAGCAACCCTTCTCTGACTGCTGCTATTGATATCGCAAACATAGGAAGCATCTTCAAGTGTGTCAGCCAGTCAAGCTTGATGCCGCACCAGCTGGCATTGTTTAGCTCAAACGGATTTATTTATGGCTGAACTGTCTTCCCAGGAGGTCCTGGGGGTGAATAGATTAGATTTGTATGAAGAGTGTTTTTTTTTTTTTTTTTTTTTTTGGTCTGTTATCTAGAAAACATCAGCAGTGTTCAAAGTCAGATTCATGACTGCTGTGGAAATTTGTCCTCAGTGGGCCAATGCGAGCGTACATTTTAGCCAGGGAGGATGCCATAAGCCACTGGAGAGAACTGATGGGGCCGACCAAAGTGTTCAGAGCCAGATTCAACTCGCCTGCTTCCATCAGGGGCCAGTTTGGACTCACAGACACAAGGAACACAACTCATGGCTCAGGTAAAAAAGCTCCCAAGCTTCATAATGCTAAAAAAATGATAACAAAATGATATGCGTAATGTTAATAATCTATTATTGTGAATATATTATCTTAAACATATGCAAGAGGTAATAGTGGGGCGATCGTGGCTCAAAGAGTTGGTGGTTCGTCTTGTAACCGGAAGGTTGCCGGTTCGAGCCCCGGCTCGGACAGTCTCGGTCGTTGTGTCCTTGGGCAAGACACTTCACCTACCGCCTACTGGTGATGGCCAGAGGGGCAATGGCGCGATATGGCAGCCTCGCTTCTGTCAGTCTGCCCCAGGGCAGCTGTGGCTACAACTGTAGCTGCCTCCACCAGTGTGTGAATGTGAGAGTTAATGAATAGTGGAATTGTAAAGCGCTTTGAGGGCCCCAAAAAGCGCTATATAAATGCAATCCATTATTATTATAACTATATATAACTTTACACATGACTCAATTTCACATCTTTTAAAGCCCATCAGTTTCTATAATGGTGTTTGGTGTCATTGGGCAGAAAACAGAATAGGCATAGTCTGTGCAAAACCCTCCTCTTTTCTTTTTGTTTCACTAGAAAATTGGGAAATGGGTACAATGATTTATTGAAACGTGCAAACATGCATGAAAATAAAAGGCAAAAACAGCTTTCTGTAGTTTCAGGAATAGTTCTCCAGGCTTTTTGAAGGACATGAAAAAACAAACAAAACATTCTTCAGAAGATGGTCAGGTAGAAGGACTGGACTGAAAATGAGGGAACAGCAGAAATCATGGAGAGCTATTTCTATTATAAGATTTATTATAAGTCTGGCTTATTTGGGAAAAAACTATAAAGAATTGAAGGCTCAAGACTTTTGCACAGTATTGTACATTTATATTTTGAACATGTGACAAGTAGTATTGCTGCATGAAAATGTAAGAAATGTTTAAGATTTGCGTTTATTTTCATAGCAGATCTTGGAATCCATCTTAATATTTTATAGTAACGTGTCTTTCTGGTTGCACATAAATGACATTTTTAGACCAATTAAAAAGAAGCCTGTAATTACTATGCAAATTTTTGATTTTCCATTCTGTTATTGTTTTCTGTAGATTCTCTTGAGTCGGCTCAAAGAGAGATTACTTTCTTCTTCCCAGACTTCTGTGCAGACGAGTGGATGAAAAAGGAGGAGCCATTGTTTAGATCAGGGCAGATCCGTTATGACCATCAAAACCAGATTCACACACTTTCATTGTCAAGCTGACACCAGATCAGCTCAACGCTGTCAACATCATCAGTATAAAGACTATTACTGTTGATCTATTGCTCACATATATACAGAGGTACCTCAGCTGAAGGCCACATGATTACCTGATTGTCTTTGAGCTTGCCAAATGAGTTCATTTTAAAAGGACAGTACATTTCGGTGTGTAATTTATTATCATTAGAAAACACAAATAACGACAGAATTTTAAAAAGTAACCTCAATATCTTACAAAACACGATGCTGTTCGTGAGCGCTTTTTCTTTTTTATTCTCACAAACCTCCGTCCAGGCTTCACTGTAAATAGTGCAATCGTCACAGTCAGTTTCCTGAGCCTTTTGCTTTGTAGGACAGCAGCGACTACAAATGGTGCATCAATGCCAAGTAACAAAACTATGAAACATTTATATCATATTAAATAATATTGCAGTAATAGTTTTACACCTATGTTAATGTTCAACCACATCTTAAAATGTGAAAATACTCTGGATTAAACTATTTTCGAGTTCAGTGCTAAGCAATGATTTCTTTACACTGATGTGGAAACAAGCTGTCAGCTGTAATATACTACAATTGCTTTTAATATGACATTCGCTGTAACATACCACGTTTTGTTTTGCCTGTTACCCCATGCTTGTTTGATCAAATGTCTCTTGTAAAAGTCTCCAACATGTCAGTAAAACATACATCGTAAAGTATTAAATGCACTAGAAATCAGATTTTTGTGCTTTCGACACCTGTCAGACCACAAAACCTGTTCGATTTCTTTCACAGTCATAATTATTTTCATTTTTTGGCTTCTTCCAATGTCCCCCTGCACTCAGGCGTTTTGTGTCGCCACCTGTTTGATAGCTTCCACTGGTTTCATGACCTCATATGTCGTGAGGGACTTCTTCACCTTCCCGTTCTTGTCCACCTGGTGGATGCTCTGGGTGACTGTAATGGTCACCTGCTTGGTCGACATCCGATTGTCCTGCCATTTTGTCTGTTAATGGAGAATAAATGGAGAATAAAAAATAATAAAAAACACTGAAATACTGACAGTGTGGTAAATATTCTTCCTGGGGTCCTACACACTCAAGCCAACATCAACAACATGTCAGTGTAAAACAAGCCAATTCTGCTTATACAGACAGCACTGAATTTCGCAGAACATAAAACTAGTTTATAAAAGGACACCAAAAGAAGCGATAGTCAACATCTGCATTACTTCATTGCATCCAAGTGACTTCTTCAGTCTCAGCTGACTGCAGGTTACCCCAACCTTATAAACAGTACATTTGCACAGTAACTGAAAACAGCCCACTGAATGAACAATAGGTTGACAGGTCAGTTCCTTGATCATTAATATGCAAATTGTCATGACCATTGATAAACAACCATTGATCAAAGACCATTGGTCAATGGCCATAAGTATCATTCACAGAGAGTTGGGGAATGGCTGCCATCACAGCATTGTAAGATGGTGAAAGATGTACCCTTTGGCCCCCTCCTCGATTCATAGATGGTCTTTCCCTTTTCACGTTATGTCTCTGTCTTCATGTCTTAACAAATATTTTAATTCATCTTTAGTACTCTGTTGCATAATATAAACTGGTAAGGAGTTCTATCCTATCATAGTTCTGTAAATTGTTTTCTGTGTGCACTTTTTAAAATTTCTTTTGATGAAGCACTCAACCAGATTACACTTCAGTAATCAAACTGCGACAGAACAAATTGATTTAAAACATGTTTTATAGCCTCTGATGTCATTAATGTTTAAACCACACCACTGACAGACCTCTACCTATATTACTTATTAAATTATAATATCAGTATGTTTCGACCATGTTAATTTACAATCCACTGTTCTACCTAATCAGTTTCTCTCCTGGTCTGCAACTGTTCCATGGGAATATTATTATTACCTAAGCTTAAGTATTTGTTTTGTTTTTGGTTGATACCTGCATTACCATACACTTTGGTTTGCTAACATTAAACATCAGTTTATTATCTTTCATCCAATTTTCTACTGCCTTCAAATATCTAACATATCAATTGAGACATTAAAATTTTAAAAAAAGAATCGTTAATAAAATCCAAAACTAACAGTGGTCCCAAACAGGTACCTTGGGGCACTCCACACATCACATTTCTTGTCTTTGACATACTATTAAAATAAATGGTCTGCCTGTGATTTGTCAGATAGCTTTCTAACAAATTTCAATGACATGCTTGCAAAATCTTAGAAGTGATTGTATGAATGTGTTTAGCTCCAAATGTGAAACGAAATGTTTGATGCGCCACACCTTAGATGTAGGTCAGTATTGCAGGGAAAAAAAGGTGCTGTGAGCTGTCTCGAGCACATTTAAACACATTACAGAAGGAAAGGCTTACAATCTCTTCAGTGTGCAAAACACTTCTGCGCTGCACTGTGGTTCCAGAAGAAGGCATCGTCGTGTCCTGCCGCGGAGAGCCCAGTGCTGTTGGTGTGCTGCTGGGCTTCACATCGTTCAGGCTGGCTTCAGACATGGCCGAGCAGACCTTTAGGTAGGCCTGAGCCGGTGGCGGGAGGCCGTCTTCAAAGAAATCTGGAACTGTAAAGATGTAGAGGTTCAGCTATGTCTGCTTATGTGTTTGTAGCTTTTATACATTTCTATGAATTTTCGTTTTTTTTCTCTTGAAGTTAATCAATTTCAGCTTGATAAGATAACCGCTATGCCACAATTAGCTTCTGTTAGAAGTCATCGGTAAATGAAACGGTAGCGATTACATATTGACAACTTAGTTGTCTTACACTGAACCAACTTGATGGTACTGTGGAGGCGTGAGCTGTGATCAGTTATTCGCAGGTAGTCGATGTTTGCATTTTACAGATGTGTGTACACCTCATCTCCTCGTTAATGTGTGACCATGTGTCTAATGATGACAGATGACATATGGTGCAGGTTGGACAAAACCAAAACACGAAATGAGGACATTTTAATGAATATTTTCTCTAGACATACTGAACCACAACTTATTATGATTGTTGTCATAAAAATCTGTTTGGTTCCCAGCTGCTGATTAATTTAGCCAATTTTGGGTCTGTTTTATCTCTCCACATTGAAGCTCAAGTCAATTTGCCTTCACAATTACATCAAGGCTCCTCTCCCTGCATTCACTCATGCCTGTATCTGTTGCCATGAGAGCTGAGCCCTGTTTGAGCACAGTGGCTTTTGAAGCAGCCTATCATCCCCATTTACGGACTCATCTCCCCTTGGCTTCAAAGAAAAGAAGAGGATCCATCTAAGAGATTTATCTGTTTCTGATGTCCTGACCTGTATGTAGAGACACATACAACTAACTGCACACTAGAAGAACAAAGGTCTCTAAAGTGGATACTTCCTCTGTCACGCATGTTTCTGTTTTCTTTCTTCTGCATAATGGATTCTTGTTGAAATCAGGCATGCCATCAGCACAGCCCTTGACATGAAGAGATGGTCCACTCCGCTTTGATAGAAAGAGTGTAAAGAATGGGCAAGTCATTGCTAGTATGTTCAAATTATTTACAGCAGTGAGATTTTAAAGGATGTACCTTACTCATGTAAAACGGCAGTAGAACAATAACATTAGAAACTACGGATTGATGCAAAAACAAACAGATTTAAAATCATCTGTTACAGATATATTAAATTCTGATGGGGAAGCCTCCCAGCCCCCTTTATATTTCTTCATACAGTAATCAAGGATATTTCTTTTCAGCAGGTTAAATTAATGCCTGCTCCGGTTAAGAGATTAATTCAGTATTCATTCACCCATCTGCTCAGCCATACAGTAATTCATTCTTCTTACCAGGGCTGATTGTTTTCTCAGAAGTGAAGCCAGCCTCTGAGTTCTCAGAGGGGATGCTCTGGATGGATGACAAGGGGATATCTGTGTCTGTGCTCGTCAGCCATGTGGACTCCGTCTCTTTTGTCCAGCTCTCCAGGTAGCGAGGCTCCAAAGCGTCAGTTCTGCTGCCCCCACAGCCCATGACTCTTCACTTCCCAGCTCAAAAAGATTCACACTGGAAGTGATTTGAATCACAGGAAACTGTGATGTTAAGTGTGTGTCTACTGATCCAGTTCTTTACACGACATGCACTGCAAAACAATCTAAATGACTTAAAAATGATGAGATAATTACTCAGTGTGCCTGCTGTGCACTGTTTGTGAACAAACAGACCTCTGCAACACAGGAGTCATCCAAATACACTTATTTATGCACGTTATTCTCTCATATGAGAGATATGACACAAACACATACTTACAGCACAGCACACAGCTGTGGGAGAAGCTGAGGGCCCTCATACAGTTAGTATGCATCAACTTCTATCCTTCAGAGAGCAGATTATGTGGTCCCACCCTCTGTTAACTCAGCTATGTTTAGGTTTGTTTATGCAGCATCTTCTGATTATTAAGTAGACCAGGGAGACCATGTTCAAATCTACAGGAGAGAGATGAGAGAAGTTATTGAAATGTGTGTTTTTCTATCTGTCTACGTATTGCAAAATCAAGTCTTCCTCAAATTGCATGTAAATAAATTCTCGGTTTCACTGATTGTCAGACACTGAATTAGCCGTTCGCAGTCAGGCCTTCGGGCTCTTTATACCGTCCTGTTTAACTTATTTAGCCCTCCCCCCCTTCAGATCATGTAGGTGGAGAGCGCTGCTGTAAAGCCATAAAGTCGCATATAGGCTGTTATATAAGCGAAGAAAAACACATAAATCATAGTATATGGATCTGTCAGCTGGCGATACATAGGCAGCTTTCGCGTCACTGTCATCGTCACAGGCCATAGGAAAAAAATATCAACACTGCCGTGAAATACATAAACAGAAAGACGAGATGTAAATATGTATGACGGAAACGCGAATGGCGCTGTAATGCAGATGAATCAAACACCGGACACTAACACAGATGATCTCTGAAGGCTTACGGATGCTGGAAAGTCGGGTTTTTGTCTTGCCTCGGTGCTTTTCCAGTGTGTCGTCTGCCAGTCAAACCAGTAACACACTGTTAGTAATAATAATAATTATACTAGCGACACGAGCACAGCCGGTAGCACACTGCGCGTCCGCACGCTGCTGCACCACCAGCCTCTTCATTCATCCTCCTGTAAACACACTGAACGGCGGATCTGTGGCGGAGCGGTGTATGTTAGAGCGTCCATCCTCTTGTCCTGAGGATGAGGGGGTGTACTTGAATTCAAGCAGAAAAAAAAATCAAAGTATTACCTCAGCTGTTGCCAGGTAAACTTCAAAATAAAATAACGGTCCTCTGCGAGCGTTGATTGACTTTTGTTTGATAACCGCGAACTGAGTTGCACTTTATTTATTTCATTTCATATTTTATGACAGTATCTGATTCCAAATTTCTTGTCTATGCGGCCTTTAAAAAACGTGTTTACAGTCCTGACATAAAAACTACTACTTCTACTATCTGAACACACCACAGACTGAACCTTGAAGCAGTCTGTGGTGAGGATGAGGGGGCTACAGCAGCAGTAGACCGCAATGGGTCCCACTCCTGAGAAAAGGAAGCGGAGATAGTCAGGCGGTTCTGAAAATGTTGTAAGGGCTGTTAGGGAAGATCAAATGTTATAACATATGTGAAACTATATACTTTAGGCATCTAAGTAGCAATAGTTTTGTGGTAGTAAGAGATGCTCTTCTGCAGACCTTGGTTCCGGTGAGTTGTTATTTGAGCTGCTGTTCCCTTCCTATCAGATTGAAGCAGTCTGGTTATTCTCCTCTGACTTCTGACATCAACAATTTTTTTCCGACAAAAACTTTCATAAATACATGACAGTCTGGGCAATGAGCAACAGAAAATTTTATGTAATTTTACACAATTAGCAGGTAGAAAAACTGAGACATGCTGCTGAAATTGCTCTTTAGATCTGTATGTGGGAAAATCCTAGTTAATCAGCAGTTCTTCAAGTACTCAGACCAGCATGTCTGGCACCAACAACCATTCTGGTTTGAACCTCATCTTGACCACTTCTACATGTCAGGCAGAGACACCATGGTTAGCCTCATAGCAAGAACCTTTCTGGGTTTGAATCCACCATCTGGCCGATGCCTTTCTTTGCGGGGTTTGCATGTTCTCCACGTGTCTGTGTCAGTTCTCTCTGGGTTCTCTGTCTTCCTTCCACAGTGTAAAAACAGGCAGTTAGTGGGGTTAGGTTCCATCCATCCATCCATCCTCATCCGCTTTATCCGAGGCCGGGTCGCGGGGGCAGCAGCCTAAGCAAAGAGGCCCAGACCTCCCTCTCCCCAGCCACCTCCTCCAGCTTATCCGGGGGAACACCAAGGCGTTCCCAGGCCAGCCGAGAGATATAATCTCTCCAGCGTGTCCTGGGTCTGCCCCGGGGCCTCCTGGTGGGACATGCCTGGAACACCTCACCCAGGAGGCGCCCAGGGGGCATCCTTGTCAGATGCCCGAACCACCTCAGCTGGCTCCTTTCGATGTGGAGCAGCAGCGGCTCTACTCTGAGCCCCTCCCGGATGGCCGAACTTCTCACCCTATCTCTAAGGGAGAGGCCAGCCACCCTTCGGAGGAAGCTCATTTCCTCCACTTGTATCCGCAATCTCGTTTTTTCAGTCAATACCCACAGCTCGTGGCCATAGGTGAGGGTAGGGACGTAGATCGACCGGTAAATTGAGAGCTTTGCTTTTACACTCAGCTCTCTCTTCCCTGGTAATTCTAAATTGCCCATTGGTGTGAATGCGAGTGTGAATGGTTGTGTGTCTCTCTGTGTAAGCCCTGCAACAGACTGGGGACCCTGTCTAGGGTTTACTCTGCCTCTCGCCTTATGGTAGGTGGGATAGACTCCAGTCCCCCAACCCTGAATTGGCTAAGCGGAAAAGAACAGATGGATGGATAAATGCACTGAGTTCCAGTGGTTCTCTACACTGACACGTCAAAAAATCCTGTGCACAAAAACACCCTGTAAACATTTAAATATGCTACTTCAGTACTGCTTCAGTATTGAAGCTTCCCTTTACAATAGAAAGGCCCCTTCTCTCTCAAATCTGCATTTCACTGATTGCTTGTGAAACTCCTCAGTTGGCTGCAAAGTGCACATTCATCACACTTCTGTGCTGCGGTTCCACAATGAATTGAATGAACAATAAACAGCATCCCTCTTTGTGCTTTACTGCAGAGAGAACACTACAGGTCTGCTTGTGGAAATAGAGGTCATTTATTCCTGACATATCTGCTGCCAATAAAGCACACTGCAAAAAACCAAAAAAAAAACCCCCAACAAAAAACACGCACACACACAAACAAAGAATGGAGCTCAGACTGTAAAACCAATTCACTAATGTGATAGTTCGACATTTGTTCCTGTCAGAAAGAAAAGATTTAATGTGCAACATCATATGGTCTATGCCCCGGTCAGTTAGTGATGACTGCTCACAGTACTGCAGATGAGGTCCTTTAGATTCCAAAGACTTGGCGGGATACACCAAACTTCTTAAAATACAGGGGCAAACAGAAAACTCGTCATTGTTCACTTTTTCATGTTGAGGAAGCTCACCGTGAGCAGCTCTCACACACCTGACCACCCTCCTACACACAGGTGCATTAGACCAAAAGCAGAACACACATTTCACCTCTGGCTTTACTTTGGGGATTTACCAAACTGCCAGTTGCCCTTTAAATACACAATAAACCATTAATTTGTGCAGATCTGGCTGATCCTGAGCCAAATCACATCTCCATGACTTCCTGTGCTCATTCCCCTGTCACCTGGCAAATAAATCTTGCTTCCTGTGGACAGCCTTGTCAATATGAAGCCGGACAGCTTTGATTTGTATGTCCTGAGCCTCTGTCCTATTGGACTACTGGTCAATAGGCCTGTCTTCCCATTACCCTGGTGATTAATGTGGCACACGGCCAAATGCTACACAGGAGTAAATTATTCCAGCAACAAACAAAGATCCATGCAACAGCCTTTTATTTTAACAGTGAGCAAGTCTATGATACACTGTAATGAGTAACATTTTACATTTAAAATATGCATGGTGCATATGAAACATGTCCAAGGTGTCAAATAATGACATAAGTTTCAGATAGATTTTTAAACTGCTGTTCAAAACTTCTATTTACGAAGGGCAGCCAATCAAAAGGAAAGAGAAGGCATCATTAAAAGGAAGAATGCCAAAAACGACTTGTTTTCAGCTGGGGACAAACTGAGGAGGGGCTGTACCAAAGCCCCTGTGGAAGATCGATCATTTTGAATTTTGAATCATGCAAAGCTAATCTAATAAAGTCCAAGAATATTAAAACAATTGAGCTGTAAAGGTCCACTTTAAAAAGTTATTTCTTATAAAGCAGCTGCTAAAGTTCAGCAATTGTTAAATGCATGACACTCAAGATAAGAAGTGAGTTGTCATATTCCCTTTAAATTTATGTACAGTCTGTATGTGTCAAACCTCTCCCTTGTGTTTCCAGCTGGGTTTTGTTGATAGCAAAAATGTGCACTCTCCACTGATTTGCTAAAGTTTCTGTGAGAAAGAAAAGAACTTTTTCTGGCAAATTCAGTTAGGCAAGGGAGTAAATGAGCCTATGTGCAACAGTGAAGCGGCCAAATCCCAACTTTCACTGGGATTTTAGTGAGACAGCCAGTGTGTTACAGCACAGGAAAACTAATTAGGAAGCTTAGAATTTAGGGTGGGAAAAAACATGGTTTTGCAATCAGATTAGCTGCAATGATGATCAAAGGTATGCCATATTGTTCTAAAACTTAAAACTTTTAGAGTTTCAATTCTTTAAATTAACATCACTTGGAAAAACAAAACCCTTTGGGAGGGACACTGAGATGTTATCATGTCCGCTTGTCTGGATTCCATCAGCAAATTGTTGATACTGGAGCTGCCAGCGGCACAAAGAGCAGCTTATCCAGATTGAGGTTTGCCTCGAGGTTGTGGTTCATCGGCATCAATCACATCTCGGGGCTTTTTTCTGGCACAGACGCGCCTCCTCTCCTCAGACCGGCAGCGGCAGTCTCCTCCTCTCATGAGACGCTTTGCCAGAGATCTCTCCAGAGGTTGTGTTCTTTCAATCCATCACAATCTCAGCGAACATGGCACCTTTTCATTAGTGCAAAGTGTTCCAGAGCAGAGGAACGACCACTGCCCCGAATAAGCATGCGTGGCTAAAATAAAAGTATTTACTCAGTCAGTGTAATGAGCTGTGGATGGGTTTATTTACACAGGGCCGCGAGGGCTCAACGCAACACTTCTGAAAGATTGTCAAAAATTAGTAACAAATCTGTTTCCAGCTTAGTCTTTTTATTAAAGAAGAAATTACTTCTGGACTGTGTCCTAATAGAGCCAGGCGAAAGAAACCACACAGGACAGCTTCTTTAAATAGCTCTATATCCTCCTTCCTATTAAAAAATTCTAATCTGGGAACATGCTGTATAAATTAATGTATTTCACCATATCTTGATGAAATGGCTTTTTATCCTATTTAATTACCTAAGTAGCATGAAAAAAAAACACTGTGCTGCAATTCCTGTGCAGCACTAAAAGTCATGTTTGCCCTAAAAATGATTCATATTGGCTCCATAAAAACCTCATTCTCCATGACTGATTTATGTAATTTCAGTTACTGTCATTTTACATTATCAGGGGGAAGTGCTAAAATTGATCTTTAGCCACTCCTCTGGCCCCAATTGAATTTTCCGCCTTTTTAATTTCTGGCGAGGGCTGGCTCATAAACGCAGCCTTTGCACTTTATGTGCTCCATTCGTTTTATCCTGCTAAACACACAACTCTAATCCTATCAAAGGCAAAGAATATTCCAGAAAGGCCAATAGTGGAGCCTTAAGAAGCGAGAGAGCCGAGCATTAGTATTCATGGAATTTCTTTGGCGAGAACCTAGTTTTTAGGGAAAATTATCTCATGAAGGTGATGGAGCTTACATTAAACAAATGGCAGGAGCACCCCCCCTAACAAAAAAAAAGTCTGGAGGTCAGCTAAACTCTATCCAGTGACTATTTTGTGGTGAAAATCTTAATACCAGTGTGGATATGTATGTAGGAGTTTTAGAGACGACCATCTGGACCACCAGATCCTGCTGAAGGGTCCCTCCCAAATGCTGCGTAGAAATCAAATGGACGCGTAGAGTTCATCGCTGTCCTAACTGTGGGTTTTTTAAT